GGCTTGTGTGGCCGGGTCCGCTTTTTTGAGGCGCACCGTGAGTGCAGCTCTCTGCCCTCTCTCTTCATCCCCAGCCCCACGCTTAATGCCCAGATTTTCCCCCCTGCGCCCTGCTAGGCCGGGGGACGGCGTGTTCGGCCCCCAGGCGACCGCAGACGGAACGTGGCTACTTGCCCAAACCATTAAGCCAGTTCTTTGCTGGAACAATTTTAGATACTGATGATGTAAGTGGTATCACTGCAAGCCCGAATCAGGTTCGTTGTCTGCTGGAAGCACTCACAAGGTGCCGGGTGCTTTCTGTTTTCAAAGTTTGTCTTGGCGAGAAGGGAAAGACGACGACCAGGAGCGCCAAGCAGGGAGAGGAGGAATAAGGACTCTTGCTCGCATGGATGTTAAATTTGGCGTTCATGATGGCCTTTGATATATCTGTTACAATAATCTCCCACACAGGGCTTTGGTAAGATTTGGCTGCATAATGAAGGAGGAGATTTTCAAATCATCAGCAGAAGATGCTTGCTTTCTTACACAGCCTGATTCAGCAAGGTGTTTATTTTTGTGAATGATTTGTGGATTGTTTGGGACCTAGTAGCACATCCCTTTTCATCAGAGAGATACCCTAAAAAATTTAGAGAGAACAGAACTGGATATCTGTGTCAAGCTTTAGGGGCAATCCTATGCTGCATTGTATTTCATTTTAAGTACTATATTTTTAAATGTATTCCCCCTCCCCCCCCCCTTCAGCACACAGAAGTCACAATATATCTATCACAATATAAGACACTGCATTATCCTACATCTGGCATTTTAGGAAGTTCCCATCAAGATCAAGAGTTTCCACTAAATTATTACCATGCTGACAGATCATGATTTTATTACAGTATCATGGAAATCAGGGATGGAAATACAGAATAGGTCATCTCCTGGGGGGAGGATATGCGGTGAACAGGATAATTCCATAAACAATTGTCTCTGAGGCTGTACCATGCCAGACTTCAAGCCTAACTCCCTTTGGGATGTTATTCCATCCTGCCTATTGGGTATTGCCAAAGGAAAGCTTTCCATCTGGTTACTCCTAAGGACTCTTTTTAAAATTTCTTCCCACTACATACAAGATTTGGATCATGTCAAGGAGTTACCTTCTCCATAGTTGAACTCTGACAGTTCAACAGAAGAGAAGGAGAAAGGAAAAAATGGAAGGCAGTACCAGTTTCCATGTTTCGTAACAACACTGGCTTTCTGTACTCAGAGTCTAGAAGTGACTCTGCACTTCAAATCATTTGGGGACAGTCTCAGAAGCGGAAGAAGGGGAGATGACGTGTTGATGGTTGATTGGATACGGCCTAGAGGACAAAAGCAAAGAAAAAGGTTTTGGGGTGGGGATAGTACCAGTCTGAAATACATTACCAGGGTTTGGGGTTTCTTGGTGTGTCACCATTATTTACTGATATTTTTTTTTATGAAGGAATTCTATTACTTCTCACTCCCACCTCCAGATGAGTGCTGCCTTCGATCTCAAGGAAAAAAGTCTAATACAGTACATGAGAGCTCTGCTATTATTTTCTTTTTAATGCTCTGAAAAGCAACTAGTTTCTATGCTACTCCTCATTTAAATGCTTTCAGTGACTTTGGTAACTTCTTTTGGATGGGATTACATGAACAGTTTTCTTTTGGTGGCTGTATGTCACCAAACATAAGCAAGCGGCATTTAGTATATCAAGTCCAAAGTCTTCAATGCAAGAGAAGAAGGTTCTGATCTAAAACTTGTGAAGGTAAATAGGAATCCTTACATTGCGTTCGGTGATCCCTGGCTTTGGGATTCCAGAAGTAGGCCTCGGGGCCTGGAGTTAAGGCCCTACTAAACACAGTTGTACTCGGAGATAGACTTGAAGTGTTTTCAGGCTTATAGAGTTGGACTGGGTATTTGCCTCACATGAGTCAATAACTGAAATCATCAGGCAAAAGACCTTCAATAAATATAGCTCGGTTTGCAAACACTTTACTTTTTGCTTTATTTTTTAAAGCATTACCAGCCTAGCCTGTCAATCACGTTCACAAAGGACCATTCATGGCAGTTTTCAGTGACTAGTCGGTCTGAATGCAGCATATTTTAAAGGGATATAAAATTAAAAGTTTAGAGGAGATAGAAATAGCATTGGTTAAGACAAACCCACCTCTGTACAATACACACTGCACAGAAAGAGCAAATAACCAAATGCAACAGCCGAAAGACCAAGAGAGGTCTTATATTGCAAGTTTGCTTTCTCTTTCTTTTTTCTTATGTGGCTGACTCAGTTCAGAGCTATATGACCCAGCGATACGTAACCAATACTTAACGAACATTAAAAAGAGAGAATCAATTCTCTTTCAAGCAGTGCCATACCATCACTTTTTCCAAGCAGTTTTTAATTTTTTCTTTGTATGTCTTTATGAGGTGACTTGTAACACGCTGTTTCAGATATTGTAGACATCTGTATCATTAAAGCTTAATTCTTGCAAAAGCCGTCTCCCCACTCAAAGCCGTTTCTGGTCTATGTCCCTGAACTGCAAATACACTCCCATGCATCTTGACAGGCTCCTTAGCATCTGTATAGCATTTGGTTTTGTCTTCAAAGTTATTTGCTAGCATGAGCCAATGTATCCTTACAACACCCAGAACAGTTGGTAAATTTTATTATCCTCATTTTATAAATGAGGAAGCAGCAGCAGAGGGGTGAAGAATCCATTCTATCATCTTTATTCACATCGATTACTGCCTTAATCCCTGCCTAGTTCCACTGCTTTCAGTGGGAATTCTTGCACGATAAGATACTATTTGATAGGACTGAAAATCACAATGTCCTCCACTAAGTGATTTGAGCAAGGCCATGGTGAGAGTTTAGTGCAGGTTCAGAACTGAAATTTCTCTCACATACACTATTTTGCTTCACCCACCTTCCCAATTTAAAAACAAAACCCAGAACTTACCACCCTATCTGTCCTTTTTCCACCTCTCAAGATAATTTGCAGTAGTAATAATGATCAAGTAGCCCCACTGGACCGACATTACATATAGTACAAGTTGACACATAACACAAAGAAAATTCAGAGCACTGACACAGTTCCCAATTTCTTATGCTACAAAAATGACCACCTTTTTGATCTTGTAATTTAACAATTCAAAGGAGGGGGATGAAAGGTGCACTTAAAGGTTTAATATGAAACTCAGCACTACAAAGAAGGTGGTACTAACTCAGTTTCAAGGTACAAAGCCGTGTCTCTTTTTTTTTTTTAAATATTGTTCTTTCAATGTGGAATGCATACTCTAACTTCACAACATCGTCTTTGTATTTTCATGGAACAGATGAAGATCAGTACAGTAATCTAGAGAGGCCTTGCTGAATTTGCTCTGCTAAGTTAGAGGGAACTGGGTGTTCTCACCTTACAGAATGAAGTTATTTTTCCCACTTTTCCTTCCTACTTCTGCAGACACCTCATATTTTGTTCAACACATATGACCACCAAGTCCTGACCATGTCTCCTTATAAACCTTAGCTATCATTGTGTAGTAACATTTTTAATTGTAAAAATAGGGTGGCTTATTTGGGCCTTTACCAATTTTTAGAACTGTGAATTTGCTGATTGGATTTCCACACACTTCTCTGTTGAGGATGGAAGTGTTCAGGGCAGAAGCTACTGCTTAAGATGGGGAGGGGAACACAGAAGCTCCCCCCATCTCCAAGTGGCAGCAGCTCTGATTCTCCAGCACTTTTCCTCCCGTACCCTGTCTCTGCTCCAGGTCCTTCCTCTCCTCCTCTATTCGGATGGCAGGAATTTCACAACTCCTTTACTCCTGGGAGGTCAAATCCACTGTCCTACCCAGCTGAGAGAGCATGCACCTGCCTTGTCAGTGTCTATGGCATCAATGCAAGGAAACTTGCATCAATGTTATGTTTTGTAAAAGACATTCTGCTCACAGGTTTCTAGGTTTCTTAGACTCTAGCCCAGCATTAGAAGGTCAGTACTGAGAGTTTCTATGATGGGGGTATGTGAAATGCTGTATACTTGAAAAATAATCTGTGGTACCTTAGGTAACCAAAAGGGCTGGAATAGAAGAAAACAGCCTGCAAAGGCCTCTTGTCCTCAAACACTGCCACTCTGGGCTTTGTTCCCGCCATTTTCCATGACACTTTCTTCCAAAGATCCAAGACCCATCTTTTTTTATTTATTGATTTGATTTATTTACTTCTGTATCCCTTTCCCTTGTAGCCTCCTTTACAGACCAAAGTCTCTACTTTGGTAGAGCAGGCAAGACAGGGAGGCCCACACTGGGTCCCTGGGGGTTGCTGGCAGAGTCAGTGGTGGAAAGGGAGCTGCCCTTTGGGGAGTGCCACCAGCGCAGGGCTCAGTTGCTCGCTCCGGCAGCGCAGCAGCAGTCTGGGAGCTGGGCCAGGGAAGAGCCCCGTGGCGGAACCAGACAACCCAGGCCTGCAGGGCTGAACTGGGGCCGCTCTACCGGAGAAGCTGTTGCGCCTGGGGAGGATCAAGATGATTTAACCTTCTCTGCCTTCCCCACTTCCTCTGGCCTTCGCATGTTTTGCCACACAGAACCTGGCTTGGTGTCTCTTGCACTGCAATGTTTTGAGTAGTGAGGGGTAAACCCTCTCATATTCATCTGGGTAAAAACCCACATGTTTGATTATGTATCATTTTTATAGGAATAAGCATAAGCAACTGAAAATCAGGTTCTCCTTGGTTTTCAGTAAAAAACCTTCATCTGAAATTATACTGGGGGGGGGGAGGAATATTTTAGTCTAAATAAGTAATTCCAGTATTGGAGATTCACA